AAGAGGAAGACAAATAACCTGTTAAATGTTTGTAAATTTAAAGCAAGTTCATGCTTTTAAAAATGAAAAAAAAAAAAACACATCCACATCCTTTTCAATTATCATTATGAGTAAGAATAGTCCTAAGGGATAACAACAAACTAAGAATTGATTACCACAAACAGTTGCCCGTTTCCTTTGTCAATTACATGTCTTTCAGCGGCTGTGTGTCAAAGAACCGTTTGAGCTTTTCACCGCTTCTTCTTACAAAAGTTTTGGCGAGATTTCCTTGCACTGTCTTCCTTCTATGGTTATGCATAGAAATTTGTTGGTTTTTCTTTTTGTTTGCGTGCATTCCCTAACTGCCACATTCCCGCATGAGTAGGCAACGAATCGCGACTAACAACCATGTTAATGGTCTCGAACGAGCTCAAATCTCGAGTGCGGTAGCGTTTTCAATACAGGCGAGCATAATCCGGTAGCCTTTAAAAGATGTACACAATAAGTGAATAAAATAGTTAGTTAAAATACGTATGTCAAGTTTTAACATACGATCCACAGTTGGCTTATTTGAATCGGAATCTTACGTTGATTAAGTAGCTATATATATATATATAATGTATGTATGTATGTATATATGTATGTATGTATGTATGTATGTATGTATGTATGTATGGATTATTTTTCTTGCACTGCATTTAATTTTCGTAATTTGATTAGTTGCTATCGATTCGTATATACTAAAGGAGGGACATCATCGTTAGTTAATTCTAAATTCTAAATATCGTAAGCTATTTAAATTATGAAGTGAATAAATGAAATGAATTTCATATAAAAATTGCTTTATTCATTAATTATGTATATTTGTTGATAATTGTAAATTTTTATTTTCTTATTTAATTTTTTAATTTTTGTTTAATTTCAGTTTAACAGCAATAAATAATAAACAGCACTAATAATTAGCAAAAATGGTGAAAACATTTCAAGCTTATTTGCCGTCCACAAATCGGACCTATTCATGTGTTCATTGTCGAGCTCATTTGGCATCACACGATGAGCTTATATCGAAATCATTTCAGGGAAGTCAGGGCCCAGCATATCTTTTCAATTCCGTAGTAAATGTGGCCTGCGGCCAAACCGAGGAACGTGTATTATTAACAGGCCTGCATGCTGTTGCCGATATTTATTGTGAATGCTGTAAAACACCTTTAGGCTGGAAATATGAGCATGCCTACGAGTCCAGTCAAAAGTACAAAGAGGGTAAATACATAATAGAATTGGCGCATATGATTAAAGAAAATGGCTGGGATTGAGAGAGATATTGTTTACTTAGTAAGCCGTAGTAAACAATATAAATATATATATATATAACAAAAATAAGCAAACCAAATTCTAATTCAAAACCATATTTCAAATCTACAATACAATATGTAACAATAATTGCAACAACAACAATAACAATTATTAACTATCACAACTGTTACACACACAGATCGCTATATATATATATATAGCGTATATATGAAAAAACATATGCATGCATCTACGACGTAACTATGCATGTATATATGTATAAATGTAACAGAAAGTTTGAAGTAATTGTAGTGGCCAGAATTTTTAAATGATCAAAATGAAAATGCACTTTATTATAACAGAAAATGTAAAGCAAAAGTAAACAAAACCAAATCATGTCATATAACAAAGCAAGCAAACAAGCAAAAGCAAACAAGCGTGGGCTCAAAGTCGTCGTCATTTGAATATTTTATAAAATTTTTATATGGAAAAGATTATGAGTAGCGCGCGCAAGCGTAACAAAATAAAGGACACAAGCAGAGTTTAAGAGCTTTACGAGAACCATGTAAAAAAGCAAAAGGAAAGAGCGAGAACAATCGAGAATGAAGATTTGATTTAAACGATTTACATAATTATCTAGATTGATTGTCTGTAGATGTTAGTTATATGAAAAAATGAAAAAACTCATACTCTTAATGGATAACGGATTCCAGTTACGTTTTAATGAGAATACAAAAAAAAAAAAACAAACAAAAAATTTATGTACTACTGCTACTATTACTACTTTTTTTAACTTATGCACACACATACACGTTAACACACACACACACACATATATATATATATATATATATATTTATATATATTTACATATATACCTACCAACACAGATTCAAAACACTCACCAACCAATCGCACACACAGTAATTAAGTACTTGACTCTTAGTGGTTCACCCCAAAAAAAAAAAAAAAGAAGCTCTGCGATCTCTCTGTCTGCCTTTCAAGAAGGCAATTATATTTTAACACAATCATTTTAACGCTCTTTACTTTACTTTCATTTAAAATTTTTCCTTTGGGTTATATTCGCTATTTCGTTTCCTATTCATGGACCAATTGTGAGATTTTCTTTTTCTCTCTCTCGAATGCAAAGCATGCAAATATATTTATGTGATAATAATTAATCCCCCGATATATATATTATAATAGGCGGGAATATCGAAAGAAAAGATTATTTCAAAAATTTTTATCGATAATGATCCTAAATAAAAAGAAAAAAAAAAAAGAAAAAAAAAAGAGAAAAAATAATATATAAACAAACAAAAAAAAAAAAAAACAAGATAATGCATAGGGAAATGAATATGAAAAGGAAAACAAAACTAAAACAAACATTTATGCTTTAGAAAAAAACAAAAAAACTAACAAACAAAACAAATATTTAATAAAAACATGAAAAGAAAGCAAAAATATCAACAAATGCCACAATAATAAAATGCCACTTAAATTTTACACAGGCACACATACACACACACACACACACAAACAAACAAACAAACAAACAAACAAGCAAACACATATACGATGTTTATTAGAAAAATTATATACTAAAAAGAGTTTTTGCTAAAATACTCAAGAAAAAACTTTATATATTTATTTTTTCAAAATATTCTTGATTTTCGAAATATTCTTGATTTTTGCCTCAACTCCGATTGACCGACTTGACTTACCTAAAAAAATTATAATCTTTATGATTCCTAAACATTTCACTGATATAGTTTTAGATTTTATTATTATTATTAATTTTTTATTTTTACTTTTTTTTTTTTTTTTTTTTTTAAAAATTCAAAATTTTTGCTTTTTTAAATATAAATCTTATATAATATGAAGGGAAAAATTTATCATTTTCCTTTTTATATTTAGCGTAGATTTTGTAATAAAATCCCTCGCTTCTCCACTCATCCTCTCACTCTTAGTTAATACATTATTTTATTATTTTAAATATTCGATTCAATTAATTCATAATTCGCTTTTTCATAAAAAATTGAAATCTTTTTCTTTTTTTTTTTGTTAGTTTTTTTTTTTTTTTGCGGACTTATAGAAGAAAAATAAAACTTTTCCATCTCTCCCGCTCCTTCCCGTTTCAATTTACTCTCATATCATCTCGTTTACACAAACACAAACACCGATAGTACTGTATGTTAGTTATTAAACGAAGATCGTATTTAGTATTTATTAGAAATTAGTTAAAAATAAATTAATTATTAAAAATAATTTTTCACACTACTGAAATGTAATTAAAAAAAAAACAAGAAAAAAAAATTATATATATAGATATACATATATTCAGTTGAATGAAATATTTTATATATGTAATAAAAATGAAATCAAACAAACTCAAATAAAGCAGCTGTGCAGTCTGTTGTTATATTATTTAATATAAAATCGATACGCAAAACATTTTTCTAAACGAATCGAGTCGTGTGCAATTATGTGTTAGCAAAAGGAAGTCAATCCTCAGTAAGAAGAGGCCAATAAGATAGATCGATGTAGTCTGTGTATGTGTGTGTGTGTGTGTGTGTGTGTGTGTGTGTGTGTATGTGTGTGTGTGTGATATGTTTAATATAAATATTCGTGCACGTGTATGTGTGTGTATGTACTTATCAATCAAATCAATATCAATCCACCATCTCAAATGAGAGAGTGTAAGATTTCAGAGATATATATATATATATATATATATATAGGTATTTTATATATATATATATATATATATATATATATATATAAAACAAAAAAAAAACAATGTATATGCGAGCGATCCTATACTACTTGTCTGGAATGATAAACAAAAAAGGAGAGAAAAAAAAAAAAAGAAAGGAAGATGACATTGGCTTAACAAATAAATTGTGATTAAAATAGAGAATATTTTTAAAAATTTTTAAAATAAAACACAAAAAAGATTTTAAAAATTAAAAAAAAAAAAAGGAAAAGAAAATCATATACACAACATAATATTAAATATAACTAAAACAAAAATTTGATCTCATTTATAAAATTTTTTATTTTGTTTTGTTTATTACTTTTAATTTTTTTAAATTTTTTTTTTCTTTTTCATCTATTGTTTTTTCCTCATATATATTATTTTATGTTTAACAGGCTGCTAGCTTGACTTTATATTTATAAAAATAAATACTAATTAATAATAAATAAATAAGCATCAAAACCATTACAAACTGCCAAGAACTTTAAAAATACAAAAAAAAATAAAAAAATAAAAAATAAAAAAAAAAAATAAAAAAAAATAAATGAATGAATAAACAAAAATGTAATGTTCTCTTAATATTATGATTATGATTAAAAGAATTTATTAACAATATTAATAATTATAATAAAAATAAATTATAAACTGTTCTAATTAAATTTTTTTAATGTTAATAATAATCATATACGAAAATAAGCTTATTTATTAATCATTATTAATGGCTTTGATGTAAAAAACCAATAAGAAAAACAAAACGTGCAATGTCTCCTATAAAACTCATGTCAGTCATATCATCATTTTCAATTCTCATTATTTTTCAGCAGCAAAACCGAATTTATTTACATTTTTTGACTACACAGTGTATTGGTCAGACAAATGCGAGACTATTCAAGTTTGAGATACTCGAGTGGATTCAAATTATTCATTTTGCTTTATGCGCTGTATTATTGGTCACATTGCTTTTAAGCATGTATTAATATGGGTAGATAAATATTGCGCTTATAATTTTCGGTGATTTTGTCGCCATTTTTGAAATGAAAAACAAAAAGAAAAGAAAAGAACGATATTTTTGTATTGAATTCAATCATTTTTTAATAAGCAGGAACTTCTTTCTATCGGTCTTATAGTGAATTTCTAATCGCCAATAGTAAGGTTATTTAGTTCCAGTTTAGATTCGAAATCGCTTTCTTCAACATGCCATATAAGATAATTGTACAAATTTAAAATCATGTCTCATCTGATGTACATGACGAGATTATATAAACAAGTCTAATATAAAGGTTAGGACACGGGTTTTAATAGAAATTTCTTTTGTCAAGAGCTGACTTGTATTTCTCATATTCAGCTACATATCATTACATATACGATGGCTGAAAGTTAAGGTGAAGATCAATTTACTCTTTGTATATACATATATATATATATATGTATAATGTGTGTTATAATGTTAAGATGGCTGCATTTTAGGTAATTATGCAAATTTCGCCTTGTTAACACGTTCACGGACGTGAATGCTATGACAATCAAATTTTAAAGCGCCAATTATTTTCCATTTAATTTTATATAGGTCTGGGAGTTCTTTTAATTACAGTGCTTGCCAAAGTATTGTTTTATTTTTTCCCTACGCATTTACTTAAATTTACATTAAATAACCTTGAAATTGTCGAGAAAGAGAACAGATTCTCTAATCGTCCCTATCGCTTTCACGTCATCCCAGTCGGAAGATTTGATCTATGTTGCCCTGAGTGCTATAGAGTTCGTTGCAATAGCTACGCTTAGAAAATATATTTTAATTCAGATTTCGGATATTGTAACTAATTTTAAAATGAATTCGTTGTCATGTTTTGACCAGTATTTTGCTTGATTTATCAGATTTTCGAAAGGTGGCATAAAGGAAAACCAAATGATCGATTATTATGTAATTAATGCCCGAGTTAAATAATTTTAACTGATTTAGTTCGAGATTTGTATTGGGTATGAAATCGGCGCGAGTACGTACAATTTTCTTTAGCGGAAGTATAAACGAGTATAGTTGTATTGGTTTAGTTATATGCACACGCTATCTTAGTTATATGCACGCGATCTCTCTCTCTCTCTCTCTCTCTCTCTTTCTCTCTTTGTCTGTCTAAAGTCATTTTTCATATTAACATTGGTCGTTTAGTTGGCTAATAAATCAGTCTTGCTATTGGACATCCTCTCACGGTCCTTACTGTCCAACAATCTAAAGTCGATTAAACATTGAAATATTCATCGCAGCCATCAAAAATTGTACATATGTATATGTATGTATGCTCAAGTTGAATAATAAAAGATTTCACTTGTAGTCATCCCTGTCAAAATTTTGCGAAGAATGATAAAATCTTTTTGAGCGTTGCATTAAAATCAACTCAAGATCTTCCAAAATGATTTGTAATTTGATTTTAGTATCCAAGAGACAATGAAGAATGCATTTTATGTGCGTTCTCTTAATGATTAGTTCTCAGTTATGCAGTATAGATATTAAAAGTTTGCATTATGTGTGCATCGATTGTCAATCAAAGACCTTTTAAAGCGACCACTATTTAAGCAGTAAGGGTTAGGCAAAAACCTTAAGCAGACGAGTAGCTAAATCGTTTAAATTCGCTCAGCAAAGAATTTCAGCTAATAAGTAATCGGTAGAGATTATCAACGTATCGGGTACCAGAAAGCATTTCAAGCTCACAAAAGGTTCTCTTACAATTGTTTCATATGTAGCGATCAGGGATACGTTGCAGATAAACGTTATGTACTCGTAAAAGACCATTTCAGGATATACGAGAACGCATTAAATTACATATATCGTGACTTTGATCATTTTTCATCATCGATAACTAAACATATGTAGATTATAATTGTCGGGAAGAGATTATTTTTATATATAACGGGATTAATTCAATTTCTTTATTTGCAGACACTGCCATTTGCAACTAATTCAATATACTGTATATATACGTTATAGTTTCAAAATCTTTGACCATTTT